CGACGCGAATAAAGTGTTTTTGTTCCCTTTGGGTCGTCTACGACCTTAAAAAAATATTAAGGGGATCGATTGTCAATTTAGTTATATATATCTTATATAAGGAGAATTTTACTCGCGATTATTTTTAGCCCTCGTTGAGGGTTTTTAGTCAAACCGACAATTATTTCATACGGCCTAGTTATCTATTAAGAGACATGCAAAAATCTAGCCAGATGTATAGAGGTTAAATACCCTTAAATTTGTATTGAATTTATCCTCTTTTTCACATAAAATACAAATGGTCAGTTTTGACCACTTTACGAATTTTTCCCAGATAAGCCGAGTTTTTTGACACCCCTAGGCGTTCTTCTACCACCTCACAAAATATCAAGGGGGGGGGGGGGGTCGTTCGACAGAAATTTGTTTTGTTATATAGCTCAAGTAAGGAGATTTTCACTCGCGGACATGTTTTAGCCCTCGTCGAGGGCTTTGAGTAAAACCGACAGTATTCCTAAAGAGCCAAATCATTTACATAGGAGCATGCCAAAAATTAGCTAGATGTACAAAAGGTAAGTGCCCTGAAATCTTTGTTGAAATGACCCTCTGTTTTTTCCATATAATTCAAAGATTATATAGAGAAATACAGCTTGTCAGTTTTGACCAATTTGTAGATTTATCCCGGATGTGGCGAGTTTTCTCTAATACCCCTAAATGTTCTCCTACCACCTCACAAAATATCAAGGGGGGTCGTTCGGCAAGAAATGTTTTCGTTATATAGCTCCAATAAGGAGATTTTCTCTCGCGGTCATGTTTTAGCCCTGGTCGAGGGCTTTGAGTCAAACCGACAGTTTTCCTAAAGGCCAATCCATTTACCTAGGAGCATGCTAAATATTAGCTAGATGTACAAACGGTAAGTGCCCTGAAATCTTTGATGAAATGACCCTCTGTTTTTCCCATAAAATGCAAATATTATATAGGGAAATACAACTGGTCAGTTTTGACCCACTTGCAGATTTTTTCCGGATATGCCGAGTTTTTTCTGACACCACTAGGCGATCTCCTACCACCTTACCAAATATCAAGGGGGGTCGTTCGGCAAAAAATTCTTTTCGTAATATAGCTCATATTAGGCGCCGGTCAGTCGAGGTCAGTTTTGACCCCCTCTCCGTGGACTTTTCGGCCAACCTGCGGCGCAGGGAAGTGCCCTGTCGGGCACTTGGCCACTTTGCTATATATATATATATATATATATATATATATATATATATATATATATATATATATATATATATATATATATATATATATATATATATATATATATATATATATATACTAGCGTACCCGTCCCTGCGCGTTGCCGCGTGAATAGAAGAAAGTCCGATGAAATATTTAAGAAGGATTTCATCCATGCGTTACCAATCCTATATTCTTAGGCCCGTGACCTTTTTTTCTAAAAGTGAGTTATTTAAATGTAAACAATGCCTGCGATTGGATCATAAATATCGGAACACTGGTTTACCTACACTACCGAATGAAAACCTTGAGTTAATAACATTAATAACTCACCGAAAAAATCAAGTAGAACACACTTCGGTGACTACCCATGTGACATGCCCCTGTAACGCCCCATTCTATCCATTGTCTATCACACTGTTTAGACCGAACGTAGTCTCCAAGGCGCTCACGAGAAAGACCAGGTCGCCGAATCGCATCCTGCTAGGGGGCCGCGCATGCAAAATTAAATTCCGCCTCCCACTATCACACTACCACCCACCTCCCACCCCTAGAAAACTTCACGGGAGTAGGCCTATTCATCAACTCCCTAAAGTTTTATGGCACTCGGATAAACTGTGTCGAAATGCATACGTCTTTTATTTTTATATACCGTACACAGAGAAAACTCGTCGCAACCTCCCGTGGCGCCGCTCTTGTGAAATTAAAATGATTTTTTTTACAGAACCCTTCCCCAGAGTGTTCTAATGAACTGACCAAAGTTTGATGGCGATCGGATGAATGATGTCAAACCAAAATTGACTTTTATTTTTATAAACTGTATATAGAGAAAAATCGCATTCTTCCGTGGCGCCGCCTTTGCAAATTTGAATTTTTTTTTTTCGCAGAAACTTCCCCAGGAATATTCACAACAACTACCAAATGTTCACGGTGATGTGATGAGAGGTGTAGTAATACATAAAAGACAGACACACACACACACATTTATTGCTTTTTATATATATAGATAGATAGAAGTAAGCATGAATCTGAATTAAGTATTTTAACGTTTTTTTTTTATATACATTCATTGTCTTTGTTGTACCTATTTACGGACTTATACTTAGTATATGAAGATGTTTTTCGATTTATATTTTTCGATTTTCCAGTTTATTTTTTAGTGCTACCATTTTTAACTTGTCTTTTTTAAATTAAAAATATGAGCCATAAATGTTATGGCCTTTAAAAATACAAAGGGAAATGCTTTGTTTGATAGGAGATTTAAGGCTACTTACCACTAAGTCTAGAGTTTGAGTCTCTAAAGCCACCAAGCGGTAGTTTGTACTTTAGTTACGTTAAGGACACTAAAGAGGCTGAACTTATTATCTCTTTGTGTGCCAATGTCATTGCTGCAGATCGACTGTATTTTAGCTTCTTTTGTGAACGAAGAAGAAAGGATTAGGATGATGTAATAATGACAAATTATTCTCACGTGTCAACAATCTATTTAGCCTTTAACAAGCAAACCGTTTTAATTATGTGTTTTATTTTTACGTATTATAACTAGAAACATCGCTTTTTTTTACTTTCTCGTATATACGAAGTAAAGAGAAAGTCTTATAATCGTGCAAAAAAAACACGATAACTTGAGTACTGTTACAACTAGGTTGATGAAATTTCATATATAATTATTTTTTATAAAAATCGTAGATCCGTATCAACTTTTGAGCGATTTCCGATAATCGGAAGTGGTACTTTTTCTACTTTGAATTTTTCAAAAGCCTATAACTTGAGTACTATTTCAGATGGATAAATGAAATTTCACATGTGTGTAAAATATTTAATTCTCTACCTTCTGTCAAATTTTGAGTAATTTCCGTTGAACGGAAGTATTAATTTACGCTATTTCCGATTTCTCAAAAACGCATGTAAATTTATAAAGTACTAATAATACTGCGCACTATTATAAACATCTTTATTTAGCGTTCACTTGGTGCGCAATTCTTTTTTCTACTAGATTTTATTCTATTTTTAAAAGTTTGAGTAAACAAAAATCATGTCTATATTCCGAGTTGCCATCCCACGTAGTGTTATATTAGAATATTCGAGAAAGTTTAGGGGAGATCACTCCCGGTTTATTTTATTAACAATTAATATTGTATATATTAATAAGTGTCTCCTCACTACTGTACGAATAAAAGCTTGTTAACAGTTATTTAGTGGCGCTTTTTATATAAAACGAAAAAAGTTGGCTGAGACGATGTGAATTAAGACACTCTCAAACATCTATATATATAATTCTCTTCTAGGAGACGTTAAAAAACAAGCTGTACGCGCGCTCCCTACCACCCCACCCCTACATGGTCTGGTGAGCTTTGGTTCACGCTAAATGTTTACAGTCGTAGAGCCGGGTTTAATGACGATTACTAGGGGCAGATAATTTAGTTTGAAACTATTTTAAACTTAGGGGAAGTAACTAAGAGGAGGCTGTTTTCACGGGGGTGAGGGTAGGGGTTGGGGAAAGGGGGGGGGGGGGGGGTATCGTCCTTAACGACCAACTGATAGTATTTTAAAGCAAATATTTTCAGTGGCAGCATTGGTACTGTCGAATTCACAAATTATGAATTACTGAAAAGTAAAAAATAAAACAACTAAATAGCGGTGTATGATGCCGCGTCTCGGCTCCTTATATTTAATACACCTTATTTGAGCATTTATTAAGCGTATCAGACTTGCACGGACAAAAAAGGTGCACATGTTGTCATTTTACAGCCTACATGTTTTTTGTTATAATGTATCTGCAGAAAGAATCCAGGGCACGAAAGAGAGAATGTATGCACATAATTAAAATATTAATGGTAAACATCTTTTTGTTTCAGAATTATATCTTAAACATGCTCACTTTGTTTCTAATACTTTTGTTCGCAGCTCATATAGGTTAGTATTGTTTATTTTTTAATTACAAATAAGCTTTATAATCCGTTTAACATCATTTTCATTTGTTGTATGGCTAGTCTAATATACTCGTTTCAAACAACATTAATCGGCTACATATAAGAACAACATTGTTACCACAAAGTGCCTTTACATTTCTTTTACCGTTTTTGTCTAAGAAATTAATCGACTGTTTATATTATTTAAAAATATGAAACGTTTAGTATAAATGTAATGATCCAGTGATTTGTTTTTAACAGACGCAACCAATTATCTGCTAGCGAAACAATACGTGCAATTTAAATTTGATTCAAGTTACTTTAAATGCACTGAAAGTACACAGATAATTTGGAAACTACAAGATTTTGAGATTTCTTGTGAAAAGTATAACGAAAATTGCACTTTTATATCTTCTGAAAAAAATGTGTCTGCAAGATTTATATATGAACAAAACCAAGGTCAGTGCAAATCAACCTTCTATATACATAACGTCACAAGCGATAAATTTGAGGGATTATTGTCTTTAACTACTTTCGAACAACAAACACATGACAAGAAAGAAATGATAGTGGATTGCCTTGTACATTTTTACGGTAAAAAAACCATGATTTTGTTAATACTCTTTTGTAGCTGGATTTTTAGGTGGATGTATAATATATATATATATAATATATATATATATATATATATATACATATATATATATATATATATATATACATATATATATATATATATATATATATATATATATATATATATATATATATATATATATATATATATATATATATATATATATATATATATATATATATATATATATATATATATATATATATATATATATATATATATATATATATATATATATATATATATATATATATATATATATATATATATATATATATACATATATATATATATATATATATATATATATATATATATATATATATATATATATATATATATATATATATATATATATATATATATATATATATATATATATAAATATATATATATATATAGCGTTTTTGTGTGAATGTTACAATTTTTACGTGATTTAGCTGATTTTGTCAGTGTGTTTTCATTTTAGAAATGCTTGACTTAGACTGCATAACAGAATTCAACAAATCAGGCTTGTATATCAAGTGCTCAACAACAAAATACTATAACATTTTTGAAAGAACGATGCGAGTCAAATATGTTACAGTCAGTAAATATTATATTACCTTAACTTATCTGCGCCATATACATACATATGTACATATATATATATATATATATATATATATATATATATATATATATATATATATATATATATAGGTTAACAGGTATATAGATATAACCGGGAGTAAATTCATAAAAAAATGTATTATTATAATTAAGGAGGAGACCGAGATCAACAGACACAATCCCTGTCTTAACAAGATTGCATTTATTGATAACTTGAATAGAAGCAAACCAGAATGTTTTCAGTTTATTGAATCCAGAAAACTAGGTGTTGGTGTTCATGACTTTGCCTCAACAGTATATCCAAATGTTAACAAATACGACCATGATGAAACTTTCGGAGACAGCGTTTTGCACAATATTAACATCGGTAATTAAATTTAAATGTATTGTGTATACTACAATTACTAAAGTATGTGTTTGTAAAAAAATAGTTTCGTAATAATTATTATAAACCGACCCTTTACAATAAATAAATATAACATTTTTAATTTTTTAAATTGTTTTATAATTTTTATCGTATATGTTCATACTCTCAATTTAATATTTATGTTAAAAACTTATCTTCTTAGATCACACAGAACTATCTGTAACTTGCAAAGATGAAGAAAATAATAACTCAACGAAAATATGTACCCTGACCAGACATGATAAAAGTGATCTATATACGTTTGTTGAGTGTTTAGTAAATGAAAATTTACTAGTCTCAACACAAGAAAGAGTATTTAAATTTTCGTATACATTAGAGCATGAGAAAGGTAACTATTAACTTGTCAAAAAGTAGTGGGCCCAATGTTATAAAATGTATCCATCATGAAAATTAAGTTTAGTAACCTCAAGAAAAGAAAATGTTAACACATTTTTAATTATAATTTCAGTGCACGTGAAATGCAATGCAATCAATTCTTTCGGATGGAAAGAAACATATGAAAAAACATATATTACATGTACGTAGTATTTGATTTGTAATTGTATCAAATTATATTTTAAAAGAAATTTCAATGTAAATTCTAAATTGTAAGATGCACACAATCAAGCAGGTAGTAAAAAGCCAATTTAAGCAAAATATTCCAAAGAAAACTATTTGTATTTGCAGTATGTTTAGCTAACTCTATGACAAGCGCGGTCATTTAAAAGTGGAATAAAAACAAGTCAATAAAGAAACACCTATTAAAACATAAAATTAAACTACTAATGTCATAGGTTACATTTAGAGTGTCTCCATAAAGAAGCAATTTTACTTATTGTAGAGCGCCATTTCATACTCTATAGCTGTTGCATATATTTTATAAACATGATGTTTCAAAGAAATCATCGAAAATTATGTGCACATTACATATTGTTAAACAAGGTTGTCGCCTATAAACAGGTGACCTACTTAGAAAGTAACGTGCGTCATTATATTGATCAATGTAAACTTACACCTTAAAGGTTCATAACTTTGATTCTGCAATCAGTGAATAGGTCCATTACCAATATTATGGTTCTCTAAGATTTCGCAACGGTTGTTAAAAAATCCCAAGAAAAGAATATTATTTAGTTTAAAATCAGTATTAAATAGGATTACCCTTGGTTTTTTCGTTTTAACAATTAAGTGTTCGTTTCCCACTTTAAAATCTCGCATGGTGTTGAAACTTCATTCTTTTTATTGATTTCCATGAAGGTAGTTTTCCTATGAAAATCTAAATATATATTTCCAATTGTTTTTAAGCATGTGTAAAAAAATAAACGTTTTTTGACTACTTTGAATGATATTTTACAATATTTTTTAACACAATACAATTTACATCCCAAAATGGATAATGTGACTTCGTAGTTACTAAATATAATTGAATAATTAGATTAGTTTTGTTAGTCAAACATACAGTCGTATATACGAAGTATAGTCTTGTAATCGTGCAAAAAAAAAAATCGAGATTTTTACTAAACTCGACGTTTTACACCTCACTGATACGGTAAAAACATAATTTTGCAATCTTGTCCGTTTGTCTGTGTGTCTGTCTGTCTGTCTGTTTGTCCGTGTAAACACAATAACTTGAGTACCGTTACTGCTAGGTTGATGAAATTTCATATATAAGTATTTTATCAAAATCGTAGATCCTGATCAACTTTTGAGCGATTTCCGATAACCGAAAGTTGTACTTTTCCTACTTTGAATTTTTCAAAAGCCTATAACTTGAGTACTATTTCAGATAGATAAATGAAATTTCACATGTAAGTAAAAGATCTAATTCTCTACCTTTTGTTCAATTTTGAGTAATTTCTGTTGACCGGAAGTAGTAATTTCCGCTACTTCCGATTTCTCAAAAAACAAATGTAAATTTTTAAAGTACTAATAATATTGTGCACTATTATGCACTTTTTTATTTGGCGTTCACTTGGTGTGCAATTAATTTTTCTACGAGATCTTATTCTATTTTTACAAGCTTTTATTTAACTCACTTCCTCGTCAGTCGTCAGTCGTCAGTCTGTCTAGACCGAAACGCAGGAGTGAAAATTCGGAAACTTCTACTTGACCGATACGTTTCACATTTGACACGTGGGTCAAGACATGAAGACAATGCAATTTGAAATTAAATTTGACTTAATTGGATACCTAATTAATTTTTTATTAATTAATTAAAATTTGGACCGAATTAGTAGGTATGTCTAGCCAACCACACCACACGCGTCATTAACTTCAATAGCTGCGCAATGTAGGCGCGCAATGGTTTTTAGTCATGTAACTCTATTGTAAATAAAACATGTAAAGTACTGAAAAAAAAATTCATAAAAAACGTTTTAATAACAAGCTTTTATGTAATGATGCACTAAAAAGTAGAAAATAAATTATAGACTACTATTTAAATAACTATAAAGAAAAGCGTGGGTTTCTTCCTTAACATTAGTAAAGGTATCCAATAGATACTAAAGTGACCCACGCTTTTCTTTATAGTTATTTAAATAGTAGTCTATAATTTATTTTCTACTTTTTAATGCATCATTACATAAAAGCTTGTTATTAAAAAGTTTTTTATGAATTTTTTTTAAGACTTTAAGTATTTAAAATGGATTAAAAATCATGTCTATAGCCCGAGTTCCCATCCCCTGTTATTTTATATAAGAATATTCGAGAAAGTTTAGGGGAGATCACTCCCGGTGTATTAACTATCAATACACAATGATAGTCTATCAACAAACAGTAACAATCACACGCTTAATCTAAGATTTTTTTTTTCATTTACAGACGGAAAGAAATGTCCATCTAATGACTATGTTCCATTCTGGATTGTGATATCTCTTCTAATCATTGCTATTGCTGGCATTGTAATTTTATCAATACGTTTATGTAGAAATAAATCAAATGCATTGGATTTAGTAAAGCAGGAAAATAATACACTACTTGGCAGAAAGTAATTTATCGCTACTATATTTTATAAACATATTTTTTTGTTGGTACCGAGACAAGAAAATTATAAAAATCTTTTAAGATTTTGTTCACAATAAGTAAGTACTAAACAGAAAAACATAATTTAAAACCAATTTGTGTTTTCATGGAAACAACAAAAACATCCACCTTTTGAATGTTTTTTTCGTCAGTTTTAAAAAACCTATGGCTTTTTTCCTTTTTTTTATTTTAAGTACTTATATTTATAATGCTTATGTTTCAGTATATATTTAAACTTGTATCACGACAATGTTTTTCCAGACTGCTGGTCTGAATTCTACTAGGTCCGAAAAACGCTATCAAAATTCCCTCAATGCAAGAGTTGTATTGTTACCTTAAGAATACACAGAACATTTAGTAATTATAGTACTGTAAAATTATTTTTAAAAAAGCGTTTTAGTGTTAAAAATCGGCTACCTAAGAAAAATTGTAAAACCAAAAAAAAAACAAGGTCAGAAAATATCATTTCTGTGTGATTTGTAAAGCCAGTTGGAAGATTTTGGTGTTGCTGATTGGACTGAAATTACAATTAACGAATACCGGAATTATCCAATTAGATAGCCGATGGTAAACTTTTTCAAGCAAACGTGTATAATTAGAAAAAGAAGAAAATTTGTTTTTTAAAACTTATGGTCATACATTTTTTTTAACCTGAAATTTTTTTTCTCATGTAAGTTCTTATTTTTCTGAATTAAGAATTGGACGAAAAATTATAATTTTGATTATTGTTTTATGCTCATAACTTAAACAGTGGGCCTGCTGAAGTATTATACATTTAAAGAAAGTCATTTATTTTGTATTTTTTGTGCACAATTATATAACAGCTTTTTATTAAAAGGTTTTTCAAAAAGATGTTTGAATAGCACTTTATTCAAAAGCGTACTCTCAATGTTACTGTTATGAAAACCCTGTAGCGCCACAAACCTTTTTAATGCACGTATAGACATATTTAAATGTAATGTATTCGTTTAAAATTACGATATATTATTCACCTGTTTATTTATTCTATTTTGACATTATTAAAGTATAAATAAACTCAAGTTTTGAATTACACTTAAATTCCATTGCCTCTACTTTGTTTTACATATCTAGAAGATCAATAAACATTAGCAAAAGGGTTCCTGGTTGGGTCTGTTTACGATCACTTTAAAGTGATATACTGTTTACTTAATGATTTACATACTAAATTTAGATCAATCGATAAGCTTTACATTAGCATATACATTAAACATTTCGTTTATACAATGTCTTAAACATAACGTTCTTATTTGATAAAAAACGTTTTGTTATGCACATTCAGAATTTTTAATCCAGCTCTATACAGACACGTGGACACTTTAACTTTTATATCACGTAAATAGATATCAAGTGTTACGATTATAAAGGCGGGTAGTTTAAAAAAAAATATACATAACAGCACTCTGACGTGAAAATTTCACGCTTCAATAAACATAACCAACTGTATGCGTCTCAGCTATCTAAACATACAAAGTGCTATAAGCAGTCCGTCTATGTCGGTAGCTTGTTTAATATGTTTGTGTATCCGATATTATCCCAAGTGTAGATATATTTAATATTTTTGGATGGTGTTTAGCTTTTGAGTTTGTTTTACATTGTAACAAATATCCATAGATAGCCTCATTTATCAAAGCTGAAAATATAAACTGTGTCTGGTAGTCTTCAAATATTTTAATCATACTTGTAAAAAAATTATCCTTTAAATTGTTTTATATTTTTAAATGTAATGTAAACAACCATACATGACTGCGTGAACTACATCACAGGCGAAAAAAAAGTTTTGAAAGTAATAATAGCCCTAAACGTATCCACAGCCGTAGCCGTAGCCGTAGCCACTGCCAATGCCGTTGCAACTGCCACAAACATATGAGGGTACATATCGTATCAATCGAACGTCAACATTCACAATCACGAAAGAATACGTATATTTAGTTTCAAGTTTCTTCACACATATGGCTACACACTTACTTGATGCAAATGCACAATGTTTCTATCTTCCAGATGTTGATATCATATTTCTCACGCCATCTATACCAGACAATATATTTCTTACAATCCCTAAACGAAGTCAATCTCTCAATGGAGCCATATATGTCATACTTCCTTACACCAAGACTATCAAGACAAGGACTAACTTACACCCAATAAGCAGCAACCAGTTTCTATCCAAAGTCGCCACTGTCTTTCATACGTATCTCGTTTCTATGTGTTCATTGCTCATGTGCACCAATGTTCATTAACACTAAGGCTAGGTTAGGTTAGGTTAGTTTAGGTTAGGTTAGGTTAGGTTAGGTTAGGTTAGGTTAGGCGATACTATTATCTATACCTATACCTGTACCTGTACCTGTACCTGTACCTGTACCTGTACCTGTACCTGTACCTGTACCTGTACCTGTACCTGTACCTGTACCTGTCTGTACCTGTACCTGTACCTGTACCTGTACCTGTACCTGTACCTGTACCTGTACCTGTACCTGTACTTGTACCTGTACCTGTACCTGTACCTGTACCTGTACCTGTACATGTATCTATACCTCAAACTATAACTATACCTATAGCCATACCCTTACCCAAACTTATTCCTATAATTATGCATTAACAAATTTGAGCATTACGTTTATTAAATTATGAAAGTACTATTCTAAACTAAAATGTCTGTGTTTTTTAGGCCAGTGTGTGATTGGTTTGGGGTGGGAGGGGGGGGGGAAAGTTATAGCGTACCTTAAGACAAATTTACAAACCAATGAATAAACTGGTTTCGTTTCAATATTGATTAAGACCTATTGAATTCTTGCGTATGTGTTCTTATGGCAGCTCATTTTTTTCACAAAATGAAAAATCGATTCTCTATTAATACGCTGCTTAAAGGTTTAGGCCCATATGATAATAAGTTTAAAACCTAGCCCTTATTTCACTTTAAATGAAACGTGTTGACACGCATGTAACATTTTTGTTACAATCTTTCATTCCCAGTGTATATATTTGCAATTTTGTGAATGCTATTCGGTAAGTTTAGTTTTGTAAACAATGTAACTTATTTAAATTACAATATATATATATATATATATATATATACATATATATATATATATATATATATATATATATATATATATATATATATATATATATATATATATATATGTATACACTAGCCGTCCCGGCCAGGCCTTGTACTGGCCTCTGTTATAAACTTATTAGTAAAGTAACGTGACTTGTATGTTTAATAAGCAGCATATACACGGCATTGTCCGGGTTTAGGAATTATATTTCTTTTCCAATTAAATGCCCACATACAAAATAGGCCGTCTGCACAAATTACAAACTCTATGTCTAAACTTAACCCTAACCACAACAACCAACCACAACCAAAACTAATACCAAACAAAAACTCAAACAAAAACAAATGCAAACATAAACGTAATAATAAACGCAAACACACACGCAAACACAAGGCAAATACAAGTTGACTTTCCATAAGTTATCGAGGCAAAAAAACTGTTTAAGAGGTCTCCTATTTTTCACCACCGTAAAAGTCTTATCTGGGGACGGAGTGGTCTAGCGGTAGAGAGCTGGAATGAACCAGTGAGTCTCAATTTTGAATATGGGTACAAGTCAGTAGACCGTCTACCCAACTCTGACGGGTAGGCTACCTATTTCACGTAAGGGAAAGTAAAGGCGGTTGGGCATAATGCTGACCACATCATATCTTCATATGCCGAGGTTACAGAAATAAGTGAACTCTACTTCACTTGCCCTATAGACCGTCAGGTTTAAAAGTGAGCTTACAACTTATATCTATCCTTCACACTCTGATAATCTGCACGTAAAAAAATCATTCCCAATCATCCACCACCGTCAGCTGTTTTCTCATCGTGTCCTTTCGCTCGCCATTACAATGTTAGACTACGCAGCAATCATAGTACACACTTTATTTGCAATACTTGCTTTCACATTCACATATTTCACATAACCATCCATTGAATTATAACTGGTATTCACCTTTCTACCAAGTAATAATATATTTTACTATATTCTTTTACTTATAAAAAAGCAAACAAATCAAGCTATATCTTTAATCTCTTAACAAATTTGACAACGGAACGACCTCTGGGCTCTGATTAGCCTACTTGATGAATTCATTGATTAAAAACTATTTGAATAAATGTTTATCTGTGCAAGTAATACTTCGTTTTTAGAAGATACTGGCACGATAATGTTGTTTTGATAGCTGTATTCAATTATTAGGAGGTATATGGACTATAAATAATGTTTTTAAATGTTATATTCTTTTCAGCTGTATCATAATAAATAAAGTGAAAGCTAATGCTTTGTAATGGAAACACCTAATATGCATCAACGCTTAAATTCCAAAAAGTTGATGTCAGTCTATTGTACTCATTAATCAATCTTTTGTTAATGTAATCAAACTATGTATTCAAACTAAATTAAAAACAAACATTGTAAAACTAGACAAAAGCTTTTATTAATACAAAAACATACAAAAATAAAAATGGAAACAATACTGCAAGCATCAGCAATTGGGGATATAGAAACAATTAAACGTATGTTGCAAGATGTAGAAGATATTAATCTTGTTGGTCTTGTTGATGCTAACGGCAACAATGCTCTGATACTAGCCACACTAAAAGGACATGAAGAAATAACGGAGTTACTCATACAGAATGGAGCTTATGTTGATCACGCTAATGTAGAGGGCATGGATGCTTTAATGTTTGCATCACAAAATGGATATGAGAAAACGTTTAAGTTACTCTTACCGAGACTTCAAAATCCTTCAAAGCTGTACTTAATGGATGTGGTATTTTTAGCTTTTGAGAATGGACATACACGCATTCTAGAAATATTATCCAATTTTGTTGAAGAGAGATACAAAAGGTTAGAGTTCAGTAACCAGCTGTGTGACATCTGTTCTATTTTTTTAACTGGTACGTATATATAAATTTTTTGCAGTCAACTTGACGTGCATTTTATTTTTGCTTTTTTAATATAAGGAATTAGTCCATTGCCTGTATATTTACTCAAAATGTAGCTAAAGAAATATTTTGAAAATACAATGTAATGGTATTTCGAACCTATTTTTACAATTATACAAATGAACGTTACATAAAGGTAATGGAAACGATGTTTTGTAATTGTAGTTATTGGAGAATTTTCTCTATAATATCTACAATTCTAGTGCCATCAAGAGTTAAGGTTAGTTACACTGTATTAACGTATTAAAATGCTGACCCAAGTCAGCTAGAATATTTGTTTTCAGCCGATGCAATTGTAATGCATAGTATATAATACACATTATTTACAGAAATAAATATATAATATATGTTTATATATATATATATATATATATATATATATATATATATATGTGTGTGTGTGTATATATATAGACATATATATATAAATGTAACAACTGATACTTACAAATGTACTTTTGTATCGAGCACTGGGTTGTTGTAAGTCTAACAGTGAGATCAGTGGAATTATTTCAACATTAGTGGATGACCCAAAATATCAAACGTTGCAATTTGTAAAACAGTAGGTGACCACTTGTTACAATATTTATTCTTAATATACTAGCATTTGACATGTGTATGTGTGCATCAGTTTTAGACAATAAACCTATCTCTAGACTGTTGTGAAAGCTATGTATGTCATTTAAATGAATGTTGTAGTTTTTGAAAACAGATCTGTCAACACTTCGATTATCTATTCTTGAAATCGAAACCATTTATATATTATTGTGTATATAGTTAATGAATATGAAATATTTACTTATGTGTACACATTCGCTAGGCCACTCTGTTGCTACATTATTCTGATGAGTCAAATACGACTAAAGCAGGTGAGCCGAAATATAAAACTTTAAAGTTTAACCCCCTGAATGTAATTAAGATTACTGAACTTTAAGTAATAACATTCTACATATTTAATTTCCTGTATCCATAATAAAAATTTAAGACACGATAAAACTATCTAATTTAGAATGCGTTATTTGTTTTAACGTCCATTTTTTTTTTCATTTTCTATTGCAGATTCCAGATTTTGATAGCTTGCTCAAGAACACTTCAGCTATAATGGCAGATCTTAAAAGCATGAACGGATTTGACGCATTTCTATTTTTTATCTGTCAAAAAACTTTAAAAAAGATTTACTTAGCGATAAGAGAGAAATATGTAGAGTGTTGGAGGGAAAAGACAAAAACTTTCTTTCATTCTCTACGTGATTACAGTTATGCAGGTATGCATACACATCGAAGTTAATTCCAAACTGTATTATTTAGTTTGTGTAAATGTAATTATGCTATGCTAATACATATACTCTCTCTGATTATACGAACAATTTAATATCATATATGTAGCCTACATATATATATATATATATATATATATATATATATATATATATATATATATATATATATTATATATATATATATATATATATATATATATATATATATATATATATATATATATATATATATATATATATATATATATGTAATGTTCACTATAACGACTGTAAGCAATCGACCAATACATTTTGCTATACAGCTTTTCGTAAAATAATCCAACCTTCTCTAACATTTTGCACATTTGTTTAAAATGTTTTCTGATGTATCAACAATATCAGAAAATATATTACATACACAATAGTTTTTGAAGAACTCATTCGTGTTTTTTTATATTTTACTATAAACTCAGGTGTATAATTAAAAAGAAAAAAACTTTTAATAAAAAAATATATTTTATGCTGCAAAAAATTACGACTAATACAAACTATGTTGACAGTATTAGTGATTATAAGCGTATATTATTGTTAAAAAGGTTTTTACCACATTTGATAAATATCCATCTTTTTTTCCAATTAATAACTGAATATTCTAATCTGAATGCAATATTATACTTCTAAAGCTTTACACGCGTAGCTTTTTTAAGAATAATTTAAGTGAAATTCAACTTTTAAATTTCATATATATATACATATATATATATATATATATATATATATATATATATATATATATATATATATATATATATATATATTGTGTGTTTATAAGGCAATAGTCACAAATATGTACAAATAGCAGACCTTGAAATTAATATTTCATAAAACTGCAATGATATTGAAGCCTAGTTTTCAAGTTTTACAACTCAGTATTCTTGTAAACTACAGATATTACTTTAAACCACTTAAGAAAAGAAAATCTACTCAACACAACCACAGCTGGGTTTTCACTCTCATTAGTTCGTGATACACTATATCTATTTGTCAGTGGAAGTGACAAATGCTTAGAGTTTGCTCAGGTAATTACTTTATATAATCTGTCTTAACCTAAGCAAATGACGATGTAACCAATTTTGGTAAATTGAATATTATTATAATCAAACGAAACAAAAATATTTCTTTCTCGAAACCGGTATTTTTCGATGACGATAAATATGGATGTGACTTTGTTACGAACATAAAAGTTTGCAAAAAGAATAGCAAGACATTTTGAGCACGTATGTCTTAAATACGACATGTTAATCTAAAACATGTTATATTAATCTGTTAAACACTTGTAACATTTTTTTGTATGAACTTTTATTTTTTAATAATTGATATAGCTTTTACAATAACATTGTGTTTGGATTATTACAACATAAACTGGTAAGAAGTTATTGTGCCAAAAATTTCTTGTGGAAAAGTTTCTTTAAATTCTGTATTAGTTGTGTCGGTCTGTATCTCAACAGCAGTGGATTCTTCGATTCGTTTATCATGTCTTCGTACAAAGAACTAGTGTATTCATTTGATTCAGTAGATACCTGAGACACTTTTTGTTGGCTGGAATATATTTAACTAATGTTTTTGACTTGAAGCAGCAAATGTGTCGGGACTGAATGTATCGATTTATTTCTTTTTTATGTTCATCTCGACAATTGAGTGTTTTGGCTTTCAATTTTTAATGTTATTATGGCTTTATGTTTTTTTGAGTTATCTCCTTAAATGTCTGAAGTAGATTTGACTTATGTGTTTTTGTAACTATGTGTAGTCGTATAATAAAAACCCAACTATAACGTGTTTTTCTTATATTACAGCAATTGGCTAAATGTAGCGTGGTGGAATTATTTAACGAACATTTCACTTTACATAAAAATGTTCAGGTACTGTTAAACCATTATGTTTTAATGTTGTATTTGATAAAAAATAAAAATAAACTGTGTTATATAATAGCGTGTTAAATATGAAACATAAATATACACACAAAGTAGTTCTGCTTTATAAATAATATATATATATGTGTGTGTGTGTGTTTGTGTGTGAGAGTGATTATTTGCGTTAAACAAATTGTTATTATAAAGATGTTTTAACATGTGAATAACTAAATCAGAATACAGACGTATTCTATTAATAAGTCTATTTTTTGTCTTATTACGTTGTGAATTTTTATTTTAAAATACCAACAAGTATTATTTAAATAAAGACCGTTCATATTTAAATTTTTACCTTATATTATATTTCTGAATTAAGTATAACTTAACTGTTTAACAGAGCACTCAGTCACAATATGTTAATGGTAAAATGATTTTGACGTTAGACAACATAGCACGCAGGAAGGACGCCAAAAAATTGGTTTCTTTCCAAAATTTGAAGCATGTAAGTATTTTGTACTATTCTGTACAATAAACTTGTCTTATGTTGATTACGTGTGAAATGTTTTTTCCTTTTTTTAAAATCACTTCTTATCGCAATCGTTGCCATCTTGAGGCAACTATTACAATCATACTATGGCCTATTCTGAGTATCTTGGTCATATCTTAAAACTACGGACGTTCACTCTTTTTGTTTTAGAAAAAAAGAGACACGTTATGCTGAAGAACGATATTTTTCCTGTCAATCATTATGCTTTAGATATGTAGAGACAGGCTATTCGGAAGAACGATGTTTCTTTCTAGGAACAAAACATACAATGTGAAAAAATGTTTCGTTTAAACATGGTGGCAGAGTAAATATTACCATTTTATTATATGTATACATTTTATTTGCAGACATTAATGGAACTAAAGTTTAAAGATTCTTATATTTCACTCATTGCAAAAATGATACTTTTGCAAATTATAGAAGATTCTGATACATTACTTGTAACAACAGGTATTTTTTATAAAGTGTTTACATAATATGTTGTTAAGCAGGATACATTGTAGAGGTTTCACTTATTTTTACGTTTTTTGTAACATTCTTTAAAATGTTCAAACAAATTCTCTACCACGTTAATGAATTTATCCGATTGATATTTAAATTATATAATTCATTCATTTTTTCATTTTATAAAAACGGGCTAAAAACTGTATATTTAGGTGAAATACATTGTGTCTTGTGAAATACATTGTGTTTTGGTTGTCTCTTACAGTAAAATCTCCTTAAAACTATGTAATATTATTTACGTGATACTGTTTGATTTTACATTGTTATAAGTAGTTACGGTATTGCACCTAGAGATAGATCTTACATATTGCAAATTAAGGTTTACTTAAATAATATAGATGAAATACAAACCGTGATTGAATACATAAAAGAAGCGTGCAAAGTACCTGATAAACGCTATAAGGGATTCCATCGTTCTGAACTACTTCAAGCCCTAGCGAAATTTGCGAAACATCCTGAAGCCTACCAGGAGGTAAATATTTTAATTTACGATTACATCTGTTATTTTTTAATAAACAGAAAAAACATACAATAAATTAAGCCTATCTGTCTAATAATGAAAACGTAATTTTAAAAATAAAACAACGCGGAAACCATACGTAATTATTGTATATTTAATAGCATGACTTTCTTCATTCTAATTTGCAATATTGACACTGTTCAGCATGTTTTTATGTCAGTAATATGTTCTAAAATGTTTCTTCGTCAAACGACAATCTGCAAGGCAGCAGTAGTTTGATTTTGAAATATTTTCCCCTAGATGAGTTGCTGTGCCGAGCTCACAAACTTCTGATCCAAAGTCTGGATTTTTAAAATTACCAATAATACGATCTCACCCTACCACTCACATCTATATTTCATTATAATTTAATTATTTATAATTATTTTCTTTCAACTTATATTTTACATCACAGATAATTATTAGAAACAAAAATATCGTAGGTTTAAAACTTTTTATTTTGTTTCTAATACAATATAGACAAAAGCAATATAGGAGTACAATATAGGAGTAATCTATTAATGCCGTCTTCGTGGCATATATATATATATATATATATATATATATATATATTTATATATATATATATATATATATATATATATATATATATATATATATATATATATATATAAACGCATGTGGTCAAACCTTTACAAAAAAACGGAGTTCAGCTGGTAATTACTTACCAATTTTTTTTAACCATTAAAACTTTCGCATCTCCGCAACAACACGTAAAGTAGCACTATAACTTCTAAAGTCAGAATAGACTTTCGGCTTCATTTAATAAATAAATTATAGTGCTCAGTACACCTAAAGGAATAGTGAGTTGTAACCACACAAATGTTTATAGCTATCAAAATTTATATCAATTTGCTAAATGTGTTCAGAATGTAGGTGGATGTCAATTTCTTATTGTTGTGTATAGAGTAAACTGTTTTTTTTTTACTTATTGACGATTGCATATAGATTCTAACATAACTCTAAATGTTTTCATTCAAGGTATTTTTATAAAAAAATGTTATTGTCATTGCGTAATCTAAATTTTTAAAATGTTCGTTTGTAAACAAGAGAATTAATTGGATATAACACATTAAATATATGATCATTTATTGTGCTTTAGATTACGTGTAAATGTTAATGTCTTTTGTAATATGTACAGATCATTCCTTTACTTGACACATTGAATAATGTTCTTGATGAAGAGGATCTGGAGGAATTGGAACACACGACGGAATGTTTGAAAGAAATGAGTGGAAATTTAGAGGCAAGCCAACTAATTTTAACAAATCAAGATTTAACATCGAGACTGGTCCAGCTAGATAATTCTGGAAATAGTGACATTGATCAAAATATCAACGACATATTTTGGAAAGGCGGACGATCAACTGGGATTCTGACTACTATATCAGGTATTGATATGCATAGGGTTTTTATTAGCGATTGACATAACTATATTTACACGCTATTAATTTGCTATATAAAATTATATATGTCATATTATTATAGACTTACCTTTCATTGCTATTTATAATCATCTTACAAAATTGTGATTCCAAGAATTATAATATATATTTTCTTATCAGGCAAAGTTGTATCTGATGAATTTCCAAAGCATTTTGAAATTGAAACAGATGATATTGGAAAAGGTTTTTTCGGGAGTGTACATCTTGTCAAAGACACGCAAAAACCTGATGAACGAAAGTTTGTAGCCAAAAAACTCAAAAATCTTGCACAAATGGTAGTAATTTTTTTTTTAGAATGATTTAAAATGTTTTTTCTTTGTGTTACCATTTCATAGTTTATGTTATTACAAATTATGTTTCAAAGATATTTATACAGGCTATCTCTCTGCATGAAGCTGAGGTTCTGTTAAAGACAAAGCATCCACGGATTGTACAATTTCATGGATTTATGAAACAAGACGACACTTTTATCATCTTTTTGGAATATTTAAAACATGTAAATAGTGATTATATTATTATATGGTTTAATTTTTCTTTATATTTATGCTTAATATACAATTTTTCTTAATAGTATCTGTGATTAAAATAATTTGTCATGATATAGTTACTAAATTAGTATCATTTTACTTTAACATGGAATAAAGGTTGATAAAAAAAACTACGGTTATAAACAGTTATAAATTATGAAATTTTACATATACTTCTATAAAATATATTATTTTAACAGGGAACGCTGGCAACATTTGTTTCAAGGAGAGGTTTTTTAGAAGAGACGTTGACGCGACAATTTACAATTCAAATTCTTGATGGTGTACAGTACCTGCATAAAAATAATATTATTCATAGGGATATAAAAGGTGATAATGCACATTATTATAGAAAATATGAGCTTGTTAAAAAAATTAGATCGAAGAGAATTGATATGTAAGCGATTTTCTTAATCTATCTACACTGCTACTATTCGGGAAAAAATAAACAGAAAATGTATTAACTCTATAAAAACTTACCACTACCAAACAATGATTATACTATTTTTGTTACATTCTATTTAATCATAGTGTTGACTGTAAAAGGGTGAATTTTCAAATTCAGTGAAGAACAGAGGTGTAGCGAGGGGGTGGGGTGCGGGGGGGGGGGGTGACACCAAGGCAAAAAATAGCAAAATATATAGAGAAAAACTTGAGGGGGGGGGGGTGCAAATTGAAAGTTTGAGGGGGGTGCAAATCGAAAACTTGAGGGGCGGGGTGCAAATCGAAAGCTTGAGGGGCGGGGGGGGGGGGGTTGCTAATCAAAATTTGTTACCGGGAAGGGTCGCTACGCCTCTGGGGGGGGGGGGGGTCGACACCATTAAGTGCCGCACCGGGTGACACCCGACCTCGCTATGCCACTGGTGAAGAATAATAACTTTTATCTGCTTTCCCACTTTTGTTTATATTATCATGAAAATGCAATATTACGTTACATTTAGGCAACAACATCTTAATGGTAGATGAGAGTGCCGTGAAGTTGACAGATTTTGGAATCTCCGAGTTTATGGATGACCATGTTGCGGCAACAGATGTGGGAACAGTGAGGTATATTGCGCCTGAATTAATTACTTCAGACGACGGCAGGATAACTAATTACACCAGCAAGGCTGATATTTGGTTTGTATTTATAAAAATAAAAATTACACTTTTGAAATATATTTATGTTTTCAGTTCAATCTTTGCATTGCTACGGTTTTTTTTTATTTTATTTTGATAGCTAGGATTTTATTATTATACAATTTTGTATTTAACAAAATGTGCAAAAATAAAAAAGTTGGTGCTATTTTATCATTAATATAACCTAAATTATTGCAGTATACTCAATGTACAAAAGAAATATTGTAGATGGTATACTGCTTAACATATGTGGAAAGTTTATATTTATATGACAAAGGGTTCCAGAGCCTTAGTTATTTGAGTGTTTAATTTTGCGTAAAAATAAAAAGTTAGGAGAACGTGAAAAGAAGGTTGGAAAAGGCACTGTGCGCCTCCGCTTATAGAAAACAGAAAAAGACATCTTGTTATGTGTGGAAGAGCCATTTGAATAATAAAATACGTGCTGATTTATGATGTAAGATTAAGATATATTTTCCAATACAAGCAGAAATTATTTATGCAGCAGTTAATGAATTGATGACTATTAAGTATTACATATCTTGTTAATTGAGTGTTATTCTCAAAACAAGATTTATTTTTTTACTCGTTTTTCTCACTTCAATACAATGCCTATCTTTTTTAAATTGTAACCTTCACAAGTGTATTGCCTCTTGATAATAGCCTACTACACATTCCTAGGTACAGCACTTTAGTTTAGACACGCCACCACTCCTCCCCATCCCACTCATCCCCAACGCTGGGTAGTCCGTGAAGAGCCGATGAGCCATGGATTGCCAATATTCATTCAACCGTGAATATATATATATATATATATATATATATATATATATATATATATATATATATGTGTGTGTGTGTGTGTGTGTGTATGTGTGTGTATGTATATATATATATATGTATATGTATATGTATATACATATATATTATTTATGATTGACGAAATAGCCCAGATATTTCATATCAAGGACAAAATATATCAGTATAAAATATCTCAGGATGAATGAAAATAAAGATGATGCAATGTTTCAAACAAAATGTTTCGATGCAAAACACTTAACGTTTTACATCTTTCTAGGAGCGTTGGCTGCACTGTTATAGAAATGTTGACAGGAAAACCACCCAACTCTTCAGTCCCTACACCACTGGCTATTTTAAGAATCGCCAACAGTGAGCCGCTACATTACCAACTTCCTCCATCTTCATCAGTTTACTTACAAGAATTTTTAGACAAAGTTTTACACAGAGAAGCTAAACACAGACCAACGGCTGACTGGCTGCTGAAGAATGATGCATTTGTCAATGAGGACTACGCCATAAGGGTAATTTTTCTCTGACAATTAATGTAAGAAAATTGGAGAAGCTTTTTAGTTACAAATACATTGTACAATATATCAGTTGTATTTTTCAAAACATCATAACAGATATGCCCGCTTCAAATATTGATGTATATTTACGTAATACTTCATTTTATCTGTCTACAATACGTGTATAATGTATTAATTAAAATGTGTGTATTTTAATTTTAGGTTATTATAAAATCCAATACTTTTCTTTAATTCTCAGTGGCGCAAACAAAATATCAATACGGCATTTGACATATGTATCGTAATATTTTATAAAGTAATTATTTTGATTTTGTTTTGATAACTACACAGTTTCGCCTTTTTAAAATTATGTATCACTAAATCATAAGGTTTAAAAAATTAAAAATAAACAGAAACTAATTTTAAAACTAAATTTGATTTCAACCAATCTGTGTATAAAATAAATTTACACCTTAAACGTGTACAACAACTGCCATCCCCGTTATTTGAATGACATCCTCGTATAATCCTTGGCTACCACCTAACACAAAATGCTGAAGTGATGTAGCTGTTAAGCGATTTTGTTTTTTTACTCAACTAATCGACACACCTTAGAAATAATGTCAAAATGTTCGATCATATACCCTTGCCGGGCCGGCGCTATCTATAAGGCGAACTAGACGGCCGCCTAGGGCGCTGTCCGTAGAGGGGCGTCAAAATGGTTGGAAAAAAAATTGAAAGTTTGAGAGGGGGGTGCAAATCGAAAGTTTGTCCCCGGGTGCCGGGAACGATCGCAACGCCTCTGATAATACGGGGCACGAAACAAATTGCGGGGAGGGGGAGAGGCGCTTTTAATAAGTTTTGCCTAGGGCGCTAAATAACCTGGCACCGGCACTGTACCCTTGTCCCTACGTACTTACATAATAAACATAGTGTAAGTATAATCAAAATACTATTTTGTTTCGTAGTTGGTCTTCAAAATGAATATAAAATAGAGTCCATGTCTTACTATTTTAATTTGAATTATACACCTGATTTTGTAAAATAGAATGTGGATATCTCAATCAATTTAATTACTGCTTTGTTCCACGTTTATAAATGTATGTAAATGAATATAAAACATTACGTAAACAGTAGCATGGGCATGGTAATAGTTTTTAAAGTAACGATAACATTGCAGTTGCTAGAACAACAAACATTCATGAGAAACAAGAACAAAATCCGACGACAACATTAGTTTACGGCCGGTTAGACTATTAACACGAAAAACTCGAATTCGATTCAATAGAATCAAATCTGACATTGACGACACGTCTGTGCAGACATTAATACAGCGAAGTATACGTGAACAAGTGCGTCCAGATGAAATCAAACTGTTTCATGGGACCAGTCATCAGAGCGTCGTTTCAATTTTAACTGATGGTATAATTTTAAATGATGGACGTGAGCGTCAAGATTTCTCACATAGTGATGGGTTTTACCTATCGTATGTGCTCAGCCATGCCAAGGAAAGAGCAAGGAGCAAATCAAATACGCCAGCTATTATCATTTACAAGATTAATAAGAGAATTTTTAGCGAGCATCATAGGATATTAGAGTTCTTTATTTTATTTTATGTAATAGTATAATAGTTTACACTATTTTCAAGTATTTAACTTATGCTCAAATATAAAATCTTACTATTATGTGTATATCCTGTTATATTAAAACTGAAACCTTTTATTTAAATTGTATGAATATATCCATTATGAAAACAGTGCTAAACTTTATTAAAAGAAAATAGGCAATAAATTTTGTTTGTTTTACAGTACACGATAATTTAAAATGTCTTTTTTTATATGTTTTTTTTTGGTGCTACATAATATATTATGACATGGTTGAATGGTAGAGCATAAGACTTATCAACCCGAAATTATGGAATTTGAATCATGTTTGTAGGCCGTAGAAAATCAATGAATGCACCTCGTTCTGATGGGTTTATTACTCACGTTAGGGAAAAAACATTTTATATTTCATATAAAACGTTTTTTTTTATTCTGTTTCAGCTTTAACTAAGCTTTGTCAGCTTTAAATGTTTATCAATTTATATAAATAGGCCTATTTTACAAAGTTGAAATATATTCACTTAACCAATACATTGTATTTAAACCATGAAATAAAAACAGTTTTCACCAAAACAAATTAAAATAGAAAAAAGGGTGTATCTTTGATGATTAAGAACATTGAAAATGCAAGGGTTCACTTAATTAATTATGTATGTTTTATAAAAAGTTATATCTTTTTAGTTTATTGAAATGTTTAGTATTTTTTATTAATACATATGAATTAGTTTATAATTAAACACATTTTTTAAAAATAAATTACATTAACTTTTAATTTAAAACATGATTATCAATTAATATTTAGAATAATAAGTTTACTACATATTTTATAAATAAATTTTGCTGTGCTTAAACGCTGATAAGTTGCAGTGTATATTACGTCTACACATATAATAATCTACACTTCTGAATTCGCTTTGTGTTTGTAAACACCTATTACAGTTATTTAGTTCAATATCAAATAAATCGCCTTTAACTCACCATTTTTGCTGTCGTGAAGTATAAAATGTAGGCTAAGAGAGGAAGGAATAAATACAGTATTTTCATGCAGATTTGTTTGAGTGCAAAACATTTGAAGAAATACAGAGATAATTTTAGGCAGCCGGTAGTTGGTGGCTGGACAGCAAGTCGTGAGAAGTAAAGAGATACTTTTACACTTAAACTACAGTCACTGCAGATTATAGATATTGCATTGTCATAAGATAGACAACATTAGGTTGTACATCATGCAAACTTTACGTCTTTAAACTCAAATACAATCAATGTACTATGTTAATCTTGTGGAACGGCATGATCTTATAGGAACAAACTTGTAGTCGGAGTCAATAAACGCAGATAATAAATTTGAAATCAGGAAATACAACAAATTCACTGTCAAAAACATTTTTAAGACAAAGATCTTAGTTATAACATATTTAAACTTTGCTCATTGCAAACACTTACTCGCGACTTCTTCCAGATTTGTTCGAATTGTTGTTCATATAGTTATTATTATTACTACTAACGACTGAATGAATGTTTGTCTTATGTTATAAGTTAAACATCTTTTAGCTAAAAATGAGTCCAATATTACTGACATAATTAACTTATCGATCAACAAACAGCACATACATTTAGGAGCGATAAAAATGTATTTCATAAACAGGACTAGGCTACACTGAAAACTATTGTGTTAATGCTTGTAAAACTATCAACCAGTAGTCATGTTTCGTGCTAAGCTTGCGAGACAAATCATTTAATTTCTATTCTTTTAGGAGTATGCCACGAGAAATAAATCACATACTGACCTAAAAAATATTAAACCGTCTGATGATGAACTACCTGTGAAAAATGTCGAGTTTTTTAATCAGCTTTCAAAAATGCAATGCTTACAGCAGCCACTAATTAGGTTAGTTGTTTGCGTAATTACGTAATCAAAATTAAAATAGTGGATTACATGTGGGATAAACAAAGTGTGATAAGGTACTATGATAAGTTTGATAACATGTTATTATTAATATGATAGGTGAATATGAAGTAGGAAATCCATATCTTATCAAAGCATCCGTTGACGACAACTTTTATCTATGGGCAATGTTTATTTAACAAACGAATCAGTATTCCAATAAATAATATATCCAGATATATATCAAATAGGCGATCTATTGAATTACATAGTGTATTAAAACAATGTGTCTCATGTTTAGTTATAGAGACTCTGATAGCATGGTGCATATAGAAGTGTGGTATTCATATTTTTTCTTTACGCAGCTGCAATCTGAAATAATTATGTACTTTAAACAGACAATGGCAGGTGATGATTCTCACTAAACTATGTATGTGTAATGAATAGTGTAGTTCAAGGAACTTAAGTTATATTCTTTGTATATTTGTATGGAAAAACGTTCTTCTTTATTTAGGGGAGTTAATCATTGAGTAAAATGTCAACAATCAACACAGTTCGAAGTTTAATTTTAGCCAACGTCATTTAGTATATGCAGATATTCTACTCATAGTTCGAGTGGCTTCTACTATCCTACACTAGTATTCCACTAAATCTCTGCTCTAAAATTCAACCTTATATCCAACTTTTCAACTTTAACCTAACTCGATTGTAACCTGGACTATCTTTAATGCCATCGTTTTCAAGCTAACGTATTTTGAGGCTAAAATACCATAACTCGTGATCGCTCGATTCTTATAGTTTTTCATATTGGTTCTGCTTGACGAACGTCTTTGTTTTCTACACAATTCTACCCATCTCTTCTGCTTGATTTGTTTCTACACATACCTAAAGTTGCATCATACACAGACTGACTCTTTCAAGAAAAAAAATATGCATGATACAATCGTGTAGGCTAACTGTATTGTGTATGTGAGAGACTAAACCAATCAACATTTAACATTAATGAACCATTGAGTTACCTAATCGTAATTTGTACGCTGGTATCATCTACGATACCCCCCCCCCTCTAGAGGTTTCTAATGAATGCATAGGATTAAACGAACAACAGGTCGCTTTGATGAGTGTGATCTCTCTCAATCTCTTTCAGTATATATATATATATATATATATATATATATATATATATATATATATATATATATACATCAACTAAAATTAAGTAAACATATTTTTAAGGCCATGTGACATTGGATAGTATAGATATGAATACTATGGATACAATATTTTTTTTGGAATCGGTCTTACTCTTACAAAATGATATATTCTTTGCCGAGAATGCTGTCATGACGGTTTAGTTACATACACGTTGATTACGATACGTGCTGAACTTTGGACTTCTTATCTTAACATTGATACGTCATGTTTATGTAAAGATCGCTTATCAATTATCACATACACACATTTAATTAAAATTATGTGTTAGACGTAGTTATCAGCAACTGTAGACAGTGATAGGACTTTGAAAGCCTGAAATTAACTAAATATCTTAGTTGATCACAGAATATACTTACACCTATGTTAAAACAAATATTTCATACCCTAATATATAAACCTAATAATGTGTTTAAATAAAAGTGTGTTTAACGGTAAGTAACCTTGGAAATGAAATTTAAGTTAAGTAAATGACGGAGTTGCCTACCTGTAATTTAAAAACAAAAATGGTTGTAAGTGTGAGGTAACTTTGCAAAATAGGTGTCTTATAAAGAATGTGAGAATTAGTTACCTTGCATAATGAATTAATACAATAATATTGGTAATCAATTATATTTGACAACAGTCTATTTTGTAAAAGTTCGAACCCTCGGGAAGATGAGGCTCGTTAGCTGGGGACAGCCACTCTTCTAGGAGAGACAACTCCAAAATCAAACAACTGCTGCATAGCTGTTTGTTCTTGGTTGGACAAAGGCTATGTATGCAAATCCGAAAACACTCTTCTAGGAGAGACAACTCCAAAATCAAACAACTGCTGCACAGCTGTTTGTTCTTGGTTGGACAAAGGCTATGGATGCAAATCCGAAAACACTCTTCTAGGAGAGACAACTCCAAAATCAAACAACTGCTGCATAGCTGTTTGTTCTTGGTTGGACAAAGGCTATGGATGCAAATCCAAAAAGAAAAGCAGACTGAAATCGGAGTAAATGCCCTCAATGACGCTTAACAAGTTGACAAGTATAATTAATTGTACTGGAGGGATCCCTTCCAACACTAAAATTAAGAACGAAGAAGAAGAAAAATAATCAATAACATAAATTTCAAACCCTACACTTACACCTACACCTACACCTACCCCTTCATTTTTTCCTATACATACATATGTATATCTAAGCCAATATCTATACCTAACCTATTTATAACTTGTCTTTGAGCTATATCCACCCATATCTCTCTGAAAATGACGGATGAGTAATTGATTGTAGGCAATGTCCTACTCTCTCTCTCTCTCTCTCTCTCTCTACGGAAACATGAGCTTGGTCCGACTAATGGCACTCTTCCGAAGCCACGTGAAGGCCGCAGTTTAAAGTCAAAATATCTTGTTAGGGTCGAGAGCAGACCCCTTTTGGTTCCCGGAAGTCTTGCACCTCACCCCCCCCCCCCCCCCCACGCTATAGCAATGCACTACTGCAAATATTTGGGCGGGGATATGTACAAGGGGGACAATTAATGTGGGGTGGTGGGGGATGACCGGAAGCAGTTTACCGCTTGTTATTGTCAAACTTCCGACACGTTTTTATTTAAGTGTTTCTATCCGCTCGTTACATATTGTCAGAAAATTGACCTTATAAATTCCAAATTTATGATGTCAAAAATCAACAGTTTAATTAAATCTAACTACCGTTCAAATTAGCAGAATATTTTTTTAAATTTATAACAGTTTACTAATGTTTTACATACAGTGATATTAAATGCAAAGTAGACTCCAATCTACCCCTAACTATTACTCACATACACGTACACTCGAATAATTGAAGTATATTACAAATACACACACTGATAAAATTGTGACAAATAAAATTACTAATTTAGTAAACTGAAATGATAAACCAAGTATATTTTTAAACATTAGTAACACTTTTATATAATGAATCTAAACAGAATAAAATGACCTTAAGTCTATCACAACAATACAGGACAAATGTGACGTATGAAAACACTAACCTATTGAATTATCTATCTAACATAATCCTTTATCTTCTATTGATATTGACTCAATGTAGTGATACAATGAATAACAATTATAAAATTAAAAAATAAAAGTAATACCTGACTTATAATAATAGCAGCATATTAATTCATATATACCCTCAATTCCGATTTTTTTGGTTATAATGATAAATAAAGACTAAAATGTGAATACAGAGAGTTTATAAATAAGAAGATTAATTGCCCCGCGCTGAACTCTGCACGCCATATTAAACTTAAACAGAACTCAAAAGGATTAAAATGAGGTCCTCAGTAGTGATAAATACATAATAATTAGTAGACAATCCAGCTTTGAATGACTTTA